TCATTGAATAGGAAACTGAACAATGCCTGTTTTTGCCAGATAACTATTTTGACTTAATCATTTTAGTTATTTTTTAACAAGAAGAAAGGGCCCAAAAGTCAGCTGGTTACAACTCTCTCTGAACATCAGAAACCAGTTTTCAGGTGGTGCGATCTGCTGACTCTATCTGTGTTTTGGAAGCGTCACACAAAATAAAACATTTTGTATTTGCTGAAACACTTATAGGGACCTAAAACTAATTGACAATAAAAACAAAACGTTTGACCATCACACAAGAGGAGCAAACGGCTCCTTTTTATGTGTCAATAAAAACATAAAGATGTCATCATCCAGCGGAGCAGATCAGGGCACATCTAATTTTAATCACTAGGTTAGCTCTTCGGACTCCAGATGCCAACTTGGTTGGCACGCTACCGCTCCACTCTGAAGTAGACGTCGTTTTAATCTAAAGGAGGCACCGTATTGTGTTGTCTCGGTGTTTTGTGTTCAATGTCGGAGCAGGGAGATTAAAACCGTCGTTGCGTTGGAAGGAACATGAATTCAGTGGCCACAGGGGAAGGCCAAGAGCTGGCGCCCACATTTGAGGACACACGGTTCTTTGTTCGCTCTTATGCTGCTTGCTTGATCCACCACTGTGTCTGTGTTTGCTTCATTGAAGACGGTTCAGGACTTCATACCATCCATAATTCTCGGGGATCGGTCACACTGCAGTAGAAATGCGCCCCAATTGGCGCCTCGGGATTGATGCAACCCTGGTCAGACACCCGCTCCCGGTAGGCCTACTCCTCTTACCAAAGCCTTTGGCCATCTCCCAACCGGCCTGACCACTCTCAGCATATCTCAACGCACGAGAACAGACATCGTTGCGCCTCGGTTTGAGACCGTATCGTCGTGCCTGTTGTGTGTGCTGCTCTCTCGTGTGTGTGAGAGAGAGAGTGGTGTGTGTGTGTGTGTGTGGTGGACGGAAGAGGAGCAGTTTTTGCGCTGGTGTGGGTGTCTGTGTGGTGTTCGTGTGTGTGTGTTGTGTGGTGTGTTGGTATATGTGTGGTGTGTGAAGAGAGAGAGTGTGTGTGTGTATATGTGCGTGGTGTGTTTGTGTGTGTGGTGTGCGCGTATGTGTGTGTGTTTGCTGTGTGTTGTGCTATATGTCGTGTGTGTTGAGAAGAGACGACTGTTGTGTGTTATATGGTGCGTGTGGGTGTTTGTGTGTGCTGTGTGGTGTTTGTGTGTGTTTGTGTGTGTGTGAGGTGTGGTGCTGTGTGTGTGTACTGTGCTGTTTGTGTGTGTGGTCGTTTTGTTGTGTGTGTGAGAGGTGTGGTGTGCTGTCTCTGTGTGTCTGTTGTGGTGGAGAGTGTGTGGTGTGTGTGTGTGTGTTGTCTCTCGCGTGTGTGTGTGTTTGTGTGTGTGTGCTCTCTGTGTGTCTGGGTGTGTGTGTGTGTGTGTGTGTTTGTGGGTGTTCTCTGTGTGCTCTGTGTTGTGTGTCGCCGCTGTGTGTGTGTGTTTTGGTGGTGGTGTCTCTGTGTTCTGTGTGTGTGTGGTGTGTGTGTCTCTGTGTGTGTGTGGTATGGTTGTGTGTGTCTCTGGTGTGTGGTGTGTGTGTTGTTTGCGTGTGGCTGTGGCTCTGGTGTCGTCTGTGTGTGTTCTCTGGTGGGGTGTGGTGGTGTTTGTGGTGTGTTGTGTGGTGTGTTCTCTGTGTGTGTGCTGTGTTCTGGGTGTGTAGTGTGTGTGTGTGTGTGTGTAGTCTCCTTTAACTGGAGTCTTCTCAAAAAGCTCCAGAATAAGCCCAGAGGTCCTCAGAGGGAGAACATGAGAGGTTGCTGATCACAGAGTGATTATTGATACAGAGCAGTGGCTTTGTAATGCTGCTGTAACACAACCACCACTTCAGGACAGGAGGCAAACAGAAACAGTCACTTCAGACTTTGACACCGGACTTAAACTTATTTTCCGTTTCTCCTCCTTTCGCCTGCTGGTGCGTGTTGCAATGGGATTTATCTTGATTTCATACATTTTTCGGTTCTCAGGGAGGTTATGTAAATAAGGAGTGAAGACACTTGTGGAGGGAGGGTATATTTAACACACACACACACACAGAAGAGCATGGAGAGAGAGAGAGAGTTAAAATAACACAAGGACAAGCAGCACACTCACACAGAAGCAAGGAAAAACAGTGGAGCACAGCAATGATTATGCACCAGATCTGCTTACACCATATTTCATCATTACTGTGGAGAAAAAACACTCAACTATTGATCTGCCCCACTGCTTCCTTTCCTCTCTGCCTCTCTCTCACCCACTCTCCGATTCCGTCTTTTATTCCCGCTTTTACTTCTCTCTTTTTACTTCTCTCTCGCTCTCAGAAATTTGCAAGCATAACAAGACTTTTTTCTGAAATGGATCCCGGTAGTAAACAAGATCATAAACATGTAGGCGCTCCACAAATACCAAACTCTCTCTCACACACACACACACACACACACACACCACACACACACCACACACACCACACACACCACACACACACACACAGGAGGTGGACACAATATTGTGAACACCTGCGCAATCTAATGCAATCCGGTACTATAGCCCTGCAATAAAGGCTGCCTCTGTGCAGCCCGGAGGAGATAAATATAGAAACAATACAACAGACATATGTTGAGCATTAGGACCAAAACATCACAGATTCAAACGAACACGTCACTGACAGTCGAGGCTGTTTGTTGTACTTGTTGGTACAAACAAAACAAACAAACAAACTTTTGTTCCTTTGAGGAAACGTTCTTGCTGCTTTGTGTTTTATAAGATTTTATTATTTATCTTTGTTCTTATTGATTCCCAATTAGCCTAAATGATTAGTCGATCGACAGAAAAATGATTATTAACTATTTTGATGATTAATGAATTAATTTTTGAAGCAAACGTGTCACATTTGATCTGATTCCAACATCTCAGAGGATCTGATGCTTTTCTTTGTCTTATATCATTGTGAACTAAATGTCGGAACAAAACAAGACATTTGGCAGCTGAATCAGTGATGAACGTGATAATTAGGAGACAATACTTCATCAGTTTTTAATCTGGCTTCTGAATATATTCTCTCAAAACAACAGAAAACATCTCCATCACAAGTTCTTCGAGCACAAGCAGACAAACACCAATGATGTTCAGTTTACCATCACAAGAGCTACAGAGAAAGACTCATTAACTCTGACTGACTGAAGAATGAATCACCTGATAGTTACAACATGAGTGCGTCGCCTCCTCCAGTAACACTTGTCTTAGCTCCTGAAACATCCTGCCTTCTTCTCACCAACAGGAGTTTACACACTGTTACATCAACCTGACCCCTGTGTGCTCGGAGAGAGTCAAACAAGTTTATATGATCACACACACACACACACACAACACACACACACTCACACACCACACCACACACACACACACACACACACACACACTCACACACTCACACACAGTCCTCTGATGTGGTCAAACAGAAATGGTACACTCATTACTTAGGACTTCCTCCTGAGGACGAATGAAGGAATTAACTGTGCAAAATGTTGTAATGGCTAACTTATAGTAATATCACTTCCCATTGCTTCATCTTCACACACACACACACACACACACACACACACACACACACACGCACACACGCACACGACAAGGCAAAGAAACTAGCTGTGGTAAGTAACAAGTGAAAACGCCATCTGTCAAGCGAGAGCGCATTTGCTTCGCCTCAGCATTTTCAGGGGAATGCCTTGAAGACAAAAAGGTCCTTGTTCTCAATCTCTCCGCAAATCCCATCTCTCATTCTTCCTCCCTCTTCCTTCATCCCCCTTGCTCTGCCGCGCGCCTTGCCGCTCCGCCACCATCAGCAAAGTTGCACACATAAGCATTGGTCAGCGTTCAATTACCGTGAACACCAGGGAAGGATGGGGAAAGTACTTGACAGAGAAATGCACTTCAAGCACTGATTAAATACTGATACCAAGTATAAAAAGTTCAGCCCCTCGGTTGTGTGTGTGTGTGTGTAGAGACAGTAAAGGGGGTGGGGGTGCTCTTCTCTCCAACACTGATACAACTGTTTCATCATTATGACCCTCTATTACAGTACTTGCCAACTTGCTTACTACATACTTTTGATACACTCCGCAGAGTGCTGACTCGAACTAAAGCTGCTGATGTGGAGTCATTAGGGGGTGAAGTTTGTGTTTTTCTGGAGCCCACAGAGCTTCCCCTGTTACTCGTCACTGTTTAAGAGTTGTAATGCTCATAGGTTGCTACCAGGCAGCGGGTAATGGCCCGTCTGCAGCAGATCAATCAGAGGATATTCTGTTGAAAGGTAATACAGTCTGTTCTTTTTTTAGTCTGTGTGTGGGTTCATCAGCAATCAATGCTCAACATTACCGCCATGAGAACATGTCCTCTCCTCCAGCTTTGTTTATTGTTGTTCACACACTAAAGCTAACATTTGGTTAGTAGACCCTCAGACATAAAGCCAGTGAGGTCACTGCTTCATTGGTTGACTGGCTGCGACTTGGAAAATGTTTTAAAAGAGAATGAAGAGCAGCTGAAGGGTGTTGTACTTGAATCAGTGTGTGCAGGCTGGTTTCAGTCTGAACGAACAACCTCACTGAGGAACAAACACGTCCAGCAGCAGCAGCAGTGACATTTTAAACTCCCCTTCCTCAGCCCACACGAGCTCTAATTATCACATAAAGACGTCAACATGCACTACACGAGCGGGCCTGTGTGTTTCAGAGCCGAGCCAAACCGAGCCAAACCGAGCTCTTCCTTCCCTCGCGCCAGACCTTTGTCCGCCCAACTGCCGCCGGTGCCATGTTGCCATGGCTCCCTCATGCCTCCGCTCTGCTCGCGCAGACGTTGAGAAATAACAACGTTGTGATGAATCAGCATCTCTGCCGCGAGCCCAGCCGGTGTACACCGGGCACGGGCGCTGACTCTCCCGGTGTACCGGCAGCACAACGTGTCTGACCCACCGGGGGCCTGTCGGGAGAACAGCGTCTGACACAAAGCAAATGTCACAACAGTGTCTCCGTCAGTCCCCGCCGCTCTCCTCCTGCAGAGAGGAGATATACATATATATACATATACAT